CCGGCTCGGCTCCGGCCGCCATCCACGGCGTCAGCGGCTCCACCCGGCCCCGCTCGCTGTCGTAGCGGCTGATGGGGATCCCGTCCACGTATCCCAACACCATGAACTGAGGGATCCCCGGGCTGGGCTCCGTCACCGCGATGGATAGGAAATGCAGTGAGTGAAGAACTGGGGGGACACGGAGATTTGGGGGGTCTGGGGGGTCAAGGGTCAAGGAAAGGGGGAACTGGGAGAGCTGGGAGAGCCGGGAAGGGGGTTTGGGCATCCCAGGGACAAGGAAAGGAGGGTGTAGGGACTGGGAGAGGTGGGATGGGGCATCCAGGGGTCCCTGTGCCCAGGAAAGGGGGCCCTGGGGGTCCCAGTGTTGGGGCAAGAGGGGTCATGGGGTGAGGAGACCCAGAATAGACTGGAAAGGGGATGCAGGGGGGTGTTGGTGCAGGATAAGGGGGTGCAGGGGGTCCTTGTGTCCAGGAATTGGTGTGTAGTGGGGTCCTAGTCCCAGAGAAGGGGGGCCAGGGGGGTCAGGATGCTGGATAAGGGGGTGCAGGGGAGTCCCCATGCCCAGGAATGAAGGTTCAGGGGGATCCCAGGATCAGAGAAAGGGGGGTGAGGGCACTGGGAGAGGTGGAATGGAGGTTCAGGGGGTCCCTGAACCCAGGAAAGGGAGGTCCAGGGGTCCCCAGTGTTAAGGAATGTGGGGTCTGGAGGCTGGGAAAGGCAGGAATGGGGGTCCAGGCAGTCTCAGGGTAAAGGAAAAGGGGGGTCTGGGAGATGCAGGATGGTCGGGAAAGGGGATGCAGGGGGGTGTTGGTGCAAGATAAGGGGGTTCAATTGGGTCCTGGAGCCGGGGATGGCGGTTCAGGGGTGTCCCAGTGCCCAGGAATGGGGGTCCCAGGGGTCCCAGTGCTGGATCAGGGGGTTCAGGGGGATCCCTGTGCCTGGAAATGGAGGTTCAGGGAGATCCCCGTGCCCAGGAATGGGGTTCAGGGGTTTCTAGTGCTGGATAAGAGCATTTAGAGAAGTCCAGGTGCTGGGGGAGGAGGTGCAGGGGGGGGTCCCTCTGCCAGGAAGGGAACTTCAGGGGGTCCCGGTGCCCAGGAATTGTGGTCGAGGGCGTTCCTGGTGCCTGGGGCCCCCCTGCAGGAAGCACAGGGAGGGGAGAACTGGGGAAGTCACAGAGATTGGAGGGTTTGGGGGGTCCAAGGGTCAGGGGAATGGAACTGGGAGAGCTGGGAAGGGGCCAAGGTTCAAGGAAAGTGGGGGCTGGGACTGGGAGAGGAGGGATAGGGGATCCAGGGGGTCCCTGTGCCCAGGAAAGGGGGGTCCAGTGGTCCCCAGTGTTGAGGGAAGTGGGGGCTGGGGGCTGGGAAAGGCAGGAATGGGGGTCCCAGGGTCAAGGAAAAGGGAGGATGAGGGGGCTGGGAGAGG